CGGAATCAAAATCTCGAAATAAAAAGCCAAGTGCTGCTGGTACGATCGAGTCGGAATTCAAATCAATTTAATCTCTTCTTCTTCTCAATTTCGATATTCACCCATTAAATGCATGTTCTTCCTCTTTCTCTATCGTATTCACATATCACATGTATGTTCTATAGCAACAAGCTTCTGTCACTATGTCGTAAATGCAACAATTCAATATCTTAATGCTACAAATTCATTTTACTTATACAAAATACTAATTGCTCCCGGCCATAATTTGGCTAATTAGCGTAAACAGCCACCAAAACTGGTCATTGGGACAATAGTGCATCTGCACCTCAGCGGTGTTTTGTCAAATTTTTAATAGGCAGGGGCCGAGTGAAGCAGAAGCTGAGTGTGAATGAGAGAATGTGAAAGGAACAACCAAAGCTGCTGGACAGGGTGGGTTTTAGGTGGTTTAGGTGGGTTATCACCAATTTGGTGATCTGATAGTTATAGCCATTCCCTACGGAATGGCGTTTTTAGTTTTCGTTTATCTTCAAAATTGTAGATTTGGTAGGCCCCATTTTTGAAATACACTTGTAACAGTGTGAGCATACAGAAACCTGGATGCAAAATTTGGTGGCTTTATCCCTAATAGTCTCTGAGAACTAGCCGACAAACATGACGGACAGACGGACATGGCTCTATCGACTCGGCTATTGATGCTGAGCAAGAATATATATACTTTATGGGGTCGGAAATGTTTCCTTCTGTGCGTTACATACAACCGTTATTCCCCACAAATACAATATACCCTATTTACTCTTCGAGTACCGGGTATAAAAATATAAGTTAAGCACACTTTCCAGGAAAACATCCAACAACCGACTCCTCCGATCCGGCCAACCATTCTGTCTAGAAACTTGCTGGCGTGGTCCATCATTTTCTTGCCCAACTCCAGAGTCGCCTTCAGATTTTCGAGGACCCCTCCAAAGAAGTCCAGAATTGTATCCCGCAGATCGGAAAGAAGTATCTCGGGCTCCATCTGCTCCCAATAGACATATGCATTGGCCAGGGCCACGACCATGACGGCGGTCAATAGCAACAACTTGGAAATTATCCTGTGAAACTAAAAAAAATGTCGGGAAATTACTGGGGAAATCAAACTGCTATGCTCATAGCTCACTGGGATTATCGACCACAGAGCAGCACAGAAGTTCTCCAACAGTGTCAGCCGCACTGATATGCACTGAGTTCCTGAATCTCTGTCCGCGTCCATACAAATGTATCCCATATTGGCATTCCTCGATGTCCTTTTGGGGACGTTAATACGTTTTTCCCCATTTGCGCCGGGCTTGCTCCTGTTCTTTATAGTTATTTTTAGTAACTTCCCAACTACTCATATGTTTTGCTTTATGATCTTCACACCCGCATTCGGCACCAACAAAACTGCACTGCAAATAAAAATTGGATGGAGTTGAAGAAAAATAACGAATGTGGGATGCTCTGGAAGGGCCAAATAGTGACACTATTCAACGCAATGGTATTGAGAGACTTTAAGAGTATGATACGAGTCGAGGTCTGTTATCCCGCGAACCTCTCATGCTTCAGAAACATTTTTTGCCACATTAACGCTTGAACACGCCCGCGCCATTTTGCGGCCGTGTGCAACTGGCTTTCCCTAGCTCTCTATCCACTTCACCATACAATCTGCGCACCAGCACACTACACCCACACTCGCATACAAACATTAATAACTTTTTTATGGTGGTCACATAAAAACGCAACAAAACCCTCCGCCGCCAAGCGAACATTGGATTCCATTTTTCGTGCAGTTCTCCCGTCCGTGTTTTTTGTTGCTGAAAACTTTTCTGTGGCTGTTGTAGTTGTTAAATCACACACGTGTTTTGTAAAACATTGCCATATCCTTCATATCCTTTAATACATGTCCCTCTGCGTGAGCTCTGGCCCAGAGCGGAGGCGGATAGGTGGTAGAGTGATTTTCCCCTAGCCCCCTCCTGTTTTTAACTGCAATTTGTTGCCAAGGAGCTTAGCGACTGACTGAAGTCCTCTTCCCCAGCACTCCCCCGCACATAAGTACAGTCTCGCTGCGGATTCTATTTCGGCCTTTTCACCGCACACATGCCCAGTACATGCACTTCAAATGGTTTTGTTTTTGTTTGCGAGTTTTGCTTTTAGCAGGGGGTTTCTTTTTTGTGGTTCTTCCATTCTCAGCAGTGCCGGGAGAGTATTTAGAAAACAAGTGTAATCAAAATTATATGGGCGTGGATTTCTCGTTTCCAGTCGTAAATTTCAAGGCTTACGGCCATGTGTTCAAGTGGGTGGTGCAGGAGAGCGGCTGGGAGCCGCTGGATGGGTGTTGGCAAGTTATGATTGAATTTCCAGCTGCTTTTGTGTCCATAGATTGTCTGTCCGAACGTATGAACATATGTTAGTCGCTTCTAATGGGAAATCTTTAGAAGAGGGAAGCTAAAACTCGTGCTGAAAAATATTTCATATTTAATACATATGTACATAGTATAATTGCTGTAATTGTAAATGTTTAGTTGTAGAACATATTTAATCTAAGCACATTTCTTCTGGCCAAAATGTAGTTGAGATAATACGTTCCAATCTACATTTCTAGATAGCTATAGTTTAAGCCGCAATACATTCAGACATACAAACATACTTATGTATAACCGAAAAGCTAGACCTTTAATGTTGCGCCGTCCAAAATTTAACAAAATTTGCCACTGCACTTTGTTGAAAGAGTCGAATATTTTAACATTAGTCCTAAAAGTATCTCTTCAAATCTACACGAATGTTCGTTAGAACAAAGAATAATTTCGAAAAAAAAAACAACATTTAGTATCTTGGACCACTTGCCCCCATACAAACTAGATCCCATTCAGGACGTATTTATTTTGAAATTAAAATAAGAATGAAATGTACTTAAATGCTTAATTGTGATTAAAAATCTTTTAAAACGTGTTTGAACTTTCAAAATATATTTGATTGACTCAATGGTTGGTTGTTAGTAATTTAATTTTAATCGCTCCAACAGAACCTTAAAAATATCTATTCCATCCTGCTATTCAGCAATCAGAAAATTAAAGACGCATTAAAATAATGACACAAACAAAAAATACATTAAAGCCCGAGCCACCGCAGAAGATCCTGAAGATCCTGCAGGTGTGCAACCAGCCAAGGGTGGAGCTGATATAGTCCTCATTCAGCAGAAGCCCTGGATCCTTGGAAATAGTGTATCCGGTCTAAGGACTCAAGAATATAAGCAAAACGTAGCTGAAACAGGAGAGTTCACTGAGGATATGCTCGTCATATATGGGGCACATCATTATACCCGGTACTCGAAGAGTAAATAGGGTATATTGTATTTGTGCGGAATAACGGTTGAATGTAACGCACAGATGGAAACGTTTCCGACCCCATAAAGTATATATATTTTTTATCAGTGTCAATTTCTCAAAATTTCTGTATTTAAAAAATGAGCCCGGCCCCTTCCGCCCCCTCAAAAGGGAGAAAACCTCCTAACCTTCAAAACAATTTTGAAGATAAAAGAAAACTAAAACTAAATTCCGAAGGGAATGACCATATCTATCAGATCACCACATTGGGATCCGATTGGACCATTATTATAGCCAAAATGAAGAAATTAATTTGCAGTGGCTTAATCAACCCCGTCCCGAAGCTTATATTTTTTTTTTTGTACATTCTCTCATTCACACTCTGCTTTGCGCAGTGTGCGGCAGCTGCCTCTGCCTCATCTCTGCCTCTGCCATGACTCTGCAGTGTTTGGCTCAAGAGAAGGGGGTTGAGCTAAAGGAGCGTGTTGGCGTGAGAAGTGTTGTAGGTGTAAATGACACATGAAAAAAAAATGTAAAATTTGACAAATAACCGCTAAGGTACAGAAATAGTACTGAGTGCCGGGTATAAGAGTTGTGACGCGTAAGAAGCGTCTCACACGTCCCTTCTCGTTTATTTTATTTTTGCGTATTCTTGTGCGTATGGTGGCAGTGCCCCTCGGTCGGTTGGGCGGGAGGAGGTTTCGCACGGGGCCCCTTTATGGTGCAATCATTGCATATCAACGTCCAGACAGATGACCAACCAGACCCCTCCGCACACGACCCTACGTGCCCTTATCGCAGACTGCGGGATGAGTGACATCGGCCTGCTTATGGGGTGCGATGTCAACGCGCACCACTGCCAGTGTACCTATTCAGCTACCTATTTAGTACCTATTCTACTGACCACCACGATGGTCATCTTAAACCGGGGAAACGAACCCACGTTTCTCATTAAGAACCGCCGGGAGGTCTTAGAATTCACACTTGCCTCCCATAGTATACAGGATAACAGGAAAATCAAAACAATTTTCTCTCTCTCTTCGGAAAATATGAAAAACGATCTCAATGCACCGGTTAGTTAAATCAGGTTGCTTTAAGTCGATTAAAAATTACACATAGCTTTAGTAGTAGGAAGTACCGTAAGTAGTACCTGCTTACGATAATGAGATCCAGATCCATTGAGTACCAATGTCGCAACGGTGCATTTATTTCTTCCAGTCAAAAGAAATGTGTTGTTGTCACATGAAACTAAAGTCAATTTGATCAGATTCGAAATATTTGGATTCAAATTTGAATGCACCTGTTTATATTATTTTTTCCGCCACTTAATATACTTCCTTTACGAAAGATCTATTAAGATACAAGATTGTTAACTGTATATATATATACATAAATACAAATGTAGAGGTTTCTAAAGATCTGTTTTTCGACTCGCACATAGCGAAGGTTTATTTCGGGTAGGACTCTCTAGCTGATGAGTTGCTAAAGAACCTAACACATTAGACCGGACTGATAAATGTCAGAGTATCACAGTGAAGATTGATAAAGGACCATCAAAATTTTGATTTGAAATGGTTTACAATCTTTCTCTTACCGGTTATGCTTCTTTCTGTTGACAGAAGTCTTCTGCCGAGCCCATTGGAATTGTAAACACTCAGTTAATTTTTCAGTCTTTAACAATAAAATAAAGTTTTATTTTAGCATTTTTTGTTGGCGTTTGTTTTCTATGATGCTTCCAGGGATTCTGTATGCTATATTTATACACTTATAATTGTTCGTTTGCTATGTTACACCGACTATCGATAATGGCTATAATTAAAATGCGCTTCCATCAGCCAGCTTGGGTGCTACACAAGCCTTCGACTCCTATGCTCGTAATATAGCCAGTCAAATTCCATTCAATACAAATGCGCTAAAACAAAATGCGAATCAACGGTCTGGCCGATGCCAGAGCTGGCTGTTGCTTCTGCATTGGCTGCCACTCTGTCTAAAATATTTAAATGGCAGTGTCAATTCTTATTTAGTTTAGGGTGCGTCCTGTGGTGGGGTTTGGTGGAGAGGAGTAAAAATGTCCATAGTGGCAACACATTTTTGCGTGTTTCCGCGTTGTTTGTTCACTTAAGTGCTATGACTACAACGTCATTTCAAAAAATGAATTTAAAAGTACATATTCTGGTACGCATTTAGAATTAATTAGCTCAACATACATATATACAACTACAGTTAAAGTTACAGTTACAGTAGGGTTACGTTCCAGTTAGAGAGTTAATGTATCATTATAATAATCGTATTTGCATTAGGTTTAGCACATGGAGGACATTTATTGCTACTACATAATACATTCAAACTGCGCATGGTTTCCCTTTATACATAAAAGAAACATTTCCAGCGATGTGAGCAGTCGACATCAAGTAGTCGTTTTGGGTGTGGTTTGTGGCCTGTGGTTTGTGTCCCTATGGAGAGTAAGCGTCCTTTGACTACTCCGAGTTGCTCACATCTCTTATCTCTAAATTCTAACATTTATATCAATATCGTCACAGCTTATATCCTAAATATATCCATGTATACATATACATATGCTCTTTAATGATAGGGTACATTTAAAGCTTTCACAAATAAAAAACCGAACTTAATCCCTAATGCGCCCAACGATGAAAGATCAGAATCAAAACTCGTATACGGCAATGAAAGCGAGGAAATCCTAACTAGACTTAGAGCTAGAGTCTCAACTTAATGAATAATTTTGGTTCAACAAGCTTGCTTTCGTATCAACTAAGACAATTCAAACAATAGCCTAGGCGCTGGGGTCAACTTTTGTTTTCCATGATCAGTGTGAGGGGGGGAGATGAATTTTATACAAGCTACGAGTACTACGAACTACGACTGCATTTGTGGTTACATTTTGGGTCTGAGTCTGCTTGATGGGGGATCTATGTGCTAAACACTAAGTAACTTTCGTTAGCCGCCTCGGGATCCGCCGCAGCCGTGCCATTGGGTCCAGCTCCGGTGCCCGCTGCGCCCGTCTCATACTAGACATACGCCTGGGCCCGCGTCCGCGGCTCCTTGCCCTGCAGCCGCTCAACGAAGTTGCGCCAGCTTACCATGGTCTTGCTGGAGTACAGCCATACGCTGGAGGTGACTCCGACGAGCATCGAGCACAGATACTTCACCATGAAGATCTGGAAAATGGGCCGGGCTTCGGGCGTGCCCGGCGCCCTAGCTGACGGACAGGGTATGGAGAAGGGCTTGCATATGTCACGATGCCACTGTATCATCCACTCGTCAAAGTTGTAGTACTCGTAGAACAGGCAACCCAACAGGCCCACGGCGGGCAGTATGAAGAGCCCCGAAAAGAAGCCTATCCTCAGCATCAGCCGCTCCAGCTTGTCCGTTCGCTTGCCGTCCGTCTTCATCACGGTCCGAATGCGGAATAGCGAAATGAAGCCGGCCAAGAGAAAGAGCGCCCCGATCGAAAGGTATATGCACAGGGGTAGGATGAGGAAGGCGCCAAGCGAGTGGGTGTCCAGCTGTCCGACAAAGCAAACGCCCGAGAGAATGTCGCCTGAAAAGAGAAGATAGAAAGAATGAATTAAATACATGTAAGACACGAAATCAAACATTATTACAACAAAGAATGGAATCTAAAATTATCTTCGCAAAAAGCTATCCCCTATCCCAAATTATCTTTTCAGCTAATCTTCCTAGTTGGCCATTCGCGATGTCAGCCGATATTTGGTGTCAACAGTTAAATAAAAGTTTCGACAGAGGTGCAGGGGTAGATATCCATTTTATGTACCTCTTTCGGTGTAAATATTTACCCAGCGAAGGCTGTGTTCAGCTCCCCCAAACCATGTCCCCACCCCCCACCCAACCGAGCGTAGTTCAAAGCAAATGCGCCGCTTCGCTTGTTTAAACAATTCACAAGCGGGGCAACCGCTCATTGTGTGCCCCAACGCTCTCCCTCTGTCTCCGGCCAGTCCCCAGCCTCATTAGCGTTATTTATAAACATGTTACAATATCCCTTGCCTCACACCTGCCCTGCCCCCACAGACATTCAGCTCCGCCAAATCCGTCATTTGTTCGGTGTGGCATATTTCCGCTAATAAATTATTGATTAGCCCCTCGTTGGTGCTCCTCGGTTTCTCTTAACGCCTCTTTCTGACATGTTAATTTTGGTTTTTACTTTTCCTGAGAAACTTGTCGCGTTTTCCAGGCTCTTGCCACACACATATTTTTGACGGCTCGTTGAGTTGTAAATACTTTCAGCTAATGCGCTTCATATACTATTTGCTGTGTTATTTTTTTTTTGATTGACTGATGATACGAACAGTTCGTGTATTTTTAAGAAGCTTCCAGCCGATTGGGCTCAACAGATGGCATCTCTAGAGAAACACTATAGTCCTGGCTTTATAGACGCGCTTGTTACGTAAACCATAAGCTATCTCATCCGAGCCTGACATTTATGGCAATTGAATGCACATTCCCGACGCCAGATGGCGCCTTACAAATCGCATGCCTTTGAAGTTATCTATGAGTATGTCTATTGGTAGCAGGCTGAAGCTTTATAACTTTATACCATAAAAGTCATGTCGTGCTGACAATGCACAGAGACTGTTCGAAGAAGGTTGCAAGGAGGGAAAGAGGGGACGACGGCTGGGATGCGCTGCGAATTAAGCAAGTTGAGAGCCGGGAAAATGCAGATAAACGCATACAATAAATAACAGCGGGCAGTCCGCCACTTGCCCGATTGAAAGACCCAACAAAACTGACATCGGCGACGGAGGGGAACCGGTAAAAGATGTTTCCAGCGAAGATCTACTACACATAAAATAAATAAAATTTTTATAGCTCAATGTACAGCTCAGCTGTCTACGAACATGATTCCGATTCTGCATCCGACTCCGAAATCCGATATGAAAAGCCACCTGCCTCATGCTGGCTTCCTAAAGTCCCAGTTACATTTTAAGTTTCCCTTCGGATAAGGATCTAAACTTATACCGAAGCTTTAGAATAGGAATACGAAAGGGAATCCAATTGAAATGAAATGAAATTAAATGAAATACAAGGCAGGGAAACCGGCCTGGGCCAGGGACAGATTCGGCCGATCGGGACTTGATAAATGCAGAGCAGATCGCAGATGCGGGCCAGAGAGAACAAGTTATTTTCGTATCCTTAGTGCAGCCAGTGAAAACCAGTTTCCGTTTTCTGCCCATTTATTTGAAATTCATTTAGAAAATGGAATTGAGCTCAAAAGGGAGTAAGAGAGAGGGAAGATGGTTGCTGTGACAGTTCTGTGGCTGCCATGGAGGGGCAGAGCCTGAGGAGCATCAGCAGCAGAATCTTGAGCAGAAGAGCAGTAACAGAAAACACCAACAATGCATGTCAATTGTTTCGTGTGGCATGAGGAATGCATGTTGCCCTGAGCAGGTAAACGGGTTCCGTTCCTGCTGCAACAGAGAGGCGCAGGCAGAGGGTGAGCTGACTTTTTCATCTGTCTGTCAGTCAGACAGTCTGTCCTGCTTTACCTTCTAGGTCTCCCCAGCCGTTTCCCTGCACCTCTGATGAAGTGCAGACAGCAAAATTCCATTTTTAGCCAATGCCACATTGCATTTGATTATGAGTCTGTATCCACAGCAGAGAGACGACGGAGTGAACGCAGAAATAAGGTTGGTGTGCTCTTGATGCTGCTCTTTGTCCACTCCGCAAGGTGTTAATCTGCTGGGCAAATACTTGCGAGAATGTACAGTGTGTGTGCATGTGTATCCGCTTCAGACACGGCTTACGGCACAACAAAGCCAGAGCTTTGTGCTTAGTCAACCATGGGGTGGGGGTCCACAAACGGACCTTGGTGAGGTAATGAACTCTCGAAGGAGAGTGGCATCTCTTTGTTGCGGCTGGCCGGGGTGACACTTTTTCGCATTCCATTCCCTTGAATTGCTGGAGTCGATACCACTATGCCGTATGCATGATCCTCGAGATCAGTTCATACTAGATTCAGATTAACCCTCCAATGTTGCAGCAAATGCCACCAGCTACGGCTTTTCAGTCTGATGTAAAGTCAATTTCATATGACATTTCACCTGCTCCGGAGTTCCTGTTCATGTTACCCCAGCATGTCTCTGTGTCCAGCTTACATGCATACATACATACATGCGGTTATCTCGTTTCATATCTATGTATGTATGTAAATTTCTTGCACACACACACACACATGCTGATGATGAAACTGTCAACTGTCATTTACAATTTTAATCGCATGTTCCTTCTCTCCGCTTCTTTTTGCTTTTGCCCTCACGCTTTGTGTTTCTCTGTCGCCTGAGCTGCTGTCGACGATTATTTGTCGCCGGCAACAACAACATGACTGAAGATTTTTAATTACTCTGGCACCACGACAACACTGGCACAAAAGTTCCGACTCCTCCCCACCGCAACACCACTCCTCTCCACGGCGTTGCATTGCACTCACTGTCAGTCGCTAGTCGCTAGTCGCTTATCGCGAGCTTTATAAAAAGAATATATGTACATACATACACATGTACATATGTGTAGACTGTGACAGTCATTGGGTTCGTCTGCGTTGCTGTTTCATTTTTCTTTCATTTACCCTGCTCTTGCTCGGTTGCTCCATTTAGATAAATGACACATAAATTAAGCAATTTTCCTTTTATGCTACCCACTACACCATGGACGCTGGCAGGGCCTGCTGGGCTGCTCACTGAGAATCCAACACTTGAGGTACAGCGGACGGACTGGCTTTGTTTTGCTGGCGATATTTGCCTTCAGAAGATTTACATTTGTAACCAGCATAGCTTTCAGTATACGATCATCAGTCAAGATTCTAAAGAGACGAAGGCGTGTTTATAGGGTATTTTTGATACTTTACTTATATCCCACATTTTCGCTAAGTCGCTGCTCGTCCCTTTGGTCATGATAAAATAATTATAAAACAATTGTCGACCACACTATACGCATATGTACGTATGTACATGTATACATATGTGCTGCTTCTACTACTCCTACCCTCTAGGTATGAGCACATCGTGGAGCACATCTGCTATTTGTTCGATGTGTCCGTTGACCCATCCATCCTACCGGCTACCGGCGGGGCCCGTCTTTTTACGAGTAGTAACGAGAATTCCATCTCAATAAAAGTTTATTGGCGCTCATAATGCGTTTCTTTTTCTATCATTTTATGGGCAACGCTTCTCAAGTGTTAGATAAACATTTTGACAACAGAGTCATAAACTTTTCATTCGTAATGACTGGTGGTGGTTAGAGCAGAGTTGAAAAGGGATTGATAGCAGACGGCAAAGGGAGGTTAGATTATGTCTATTATGCAATTTGTGAGGTTTTACTATTTGATAATTTGCAGAAAATGTACTGGCTAAAATGTATCTAATAGGAAACTTAAGAAATGATTTTTTGTTTGTTTTTTTTTTGTGAGTTCATCTAGTGCATCCGTTATCACGTAAATTCCATTATGTTCTCGTTGCTCTTTTACACTTTCCGCACATTTAAATGTCTCAATTAAGTTATTTGCCAATTGTTAGGCGGAAAAAAAACCTTTGGCAAATCCAAGGTTTAAAAACCTGTTGCACAGCAGCAAGCAATGGCAAAGGGGAGCACAACAAAATGGGGAATGGAGGCAGGAAAAAAGAAGAAACTGCGACACGCGACATTAAAACGTGGCAGGCAATAAAAATTGAGGTCAACAGCGGCAGAGGCTAATGAATAACAGAGCACAAAACGCGACAGGGACAGAGTCAGGTCTAGGGGCAGCAACAACAAAATTTAAAAAAAACAAAAAAAACCAGAGCTGCCGTGTCGTATAATTTTGCATTGAAAATGTCAACAGTAGAGTGCTGTAGAAGGAAGAGTGGACACGGGGATAGGACTCTTATCAAGATGCGCAATTAAATATGGAAATGTGCAATGTAGAGTAGAGATGGAAATTAAGGGAAAAGAAGGGAAAGAGAAACACACAAAACAGAAAAGGCAGTGACAAAAACAACATGAAAGCTGCACACGCGACAAGTGTCATTAGCAAACGTCCCTCATGCCTACACCCCTGCACATCCTACAGCCAAGAGCCAACAGTCGAGCTTCCGCTCCTGTGGCTACGCCTAAAAAAATATACAAAATTACAACCACGATATACATACATATGTACCTACATTTTTTTATTACAATTAAATGCCATTTTGTGGGATATTTAGTAAAAGTTCACAGAGGTGATGCGTGTACTGGAAGCAAGGTATGGGAGGAGTCGTTAATAGAAGAGCCAAATATTTGCAAATCAAACATAAAGCGCACGAGAGTTGTGGATGGCGGGAGGAGGGGCAGAGGCAGTGCCCAAAATTTGTTGAGAGTTTATGTATATTACGTGTCGACAACAGCAGCAACAGACACAGCAACAGAGACAGCAACGACTGTTAGAATCAACAGCAGCTGTCGGCGCGGCCAAGGTTCAATACAGTTCACACACTTTCCGACAGGGCAAACAATTTCAATTTGCATGTCCAGGAGTAGGAAGGAAGACCAAAACACCAGTGGATGGGGTGT